GCATGTTATTTAGCCTCTATATTTTTGTGTGTATTTTATGGGTTTTTTGTTTTGTTTTGTTTTTGTAATTGATTTCTAGTTTCATACCATTATAATCAGAGAGGATTCAATCTTCTTGAATTTATTGAGACTTATTTTGTGGCCTAACATATTTTCTTTCTTGGAAAATGTTCAATGTGTACTTGAAAAGAATGTATATTCTGCTACTTTTGTGTAGGTGCTCAAAAATAGCAATTAAATCTATGTGGTCTGGTTTGTCATTTAAGGTCCCTGTTTCCGTGTTGATTTTCTGTCTGGAAGATCTGTCCATTGGTGTCAATGGGGTGTTAAAGTGCCCCACTATGACTGTGTTACTGTCGATCTCTCCCTTTACATCATTCAATATTTGTTTTATATTTAGGTGCTCTTATGTTGGATGCATAGATGTTTATTTGTTCTATATCCTCTTGTTGGTTTAATAACTTTGTCCTTCTATGTCTCTTATTATAGTCTTCATTTTAAAGTCTATTTTTGCCTGGTTTAAGCATTGCTATCCCAGCTTCCCACCTTTTTAATTTTTCCATTTTCAGTTGCATGAAATATATTTTTCCATACCTTTACTTTTTGTCTATGTATGTATTTCAGTCAGAGTTGGGTCTCTTGTAGACCGCATATGTATTGGCTGTGTTTTCTTATGCATTCATCTAGTGTATGTCTTTTGATTGGAGCATTTAATCCAGTTACACTTAAAATGATTGTTGGTAGTACTTTATTATTCATAATTTAAAAAATATTGTTTTCCTCTTCTTCATCTTAAAGAAGTCCCTTTAACATTTCTTGTAATACTGGCTTGGTGGTAATGAATTCCTTTAGCTTTTTCTTTTTGGGGAAGCTCTTTATCTGTCCTTCAATTTTATGATAGCCTTGCTCGGTAGAGGCTTTTGCTTTTATCACTTTGCATATTTCCCGCCACTCCGTTCTGGCCTGCAGTGTTTGTGTTGAAAAATCAGCTGACAATTTTATTGGAGCTTCTTTGTAGGTAACTACTTGTCTTTCTCTTGCTGACTTCAGGATTCTCTGTTTGTTTGTAACCTTTGCCATTTCGATTATAATGTGTCTCAGTGTGGACCTCTTTGGGTTCATCTTGTTTGGAACACTGCATTTCCTGGCATTGTATGTCTATTTCCTTTGCCACGTTAGGGAAGCTTTCAGTCATTATTTCCTCAAATATGTTCTTGGTCCCTTGCTCCCTCTCTTCTCCTTCTGTACTCCTATGATGCATATGTTGTTATGCTTGATGTTGTCCCAGAGTTCCCTTGAACTATCTTTTTTTTTAATTGTTTTTTGTTGTTTTTGTTCCAATTGGGTGTTTTCTGCTACTCATCTTCCAAACTGGTGATTCGAAACCTCTGCTTCATTTATTCAGCTCTTGATTCCTTCTAGTGTTTTGCTCATTTCAGTTATTGTATTCTTTATCTCTCACTTGTTCTTTTTTATGGTTTTAAGGTCCTTTATTGTGCTTACTACCGTTTTGTTAAAGTTCTCACTATGTTCCCTAAGCATTTTTCTAACCAGCATTTTGATCTCTGTCTCTGGTAGGTTGGTTGCCTCCGTTTCATCTATTATTTTTCTGGATTTTTTTCCTGTTCTTTTACTTGGGATATGTTTCTTTGTTTCTTCATTTTGCCTGACTCTCTGTATTCATTTTTATGTAGTAGGTAGATCTTCTATGTCTCTCAGTTATCACTGGGTGGCCTTATGTAATACGTACTCTGTGTGTTCCATTGGTGCAGTCTCCCTGATCACCTGTACTGTGTGTTCCAGGAGTGTCCCTTGTGTGTGTTGTGTGTGTCCTCTTGTTGTAGTTGAGCCTTGATTGATTTTGTTGCATCAGTGGATGCAATTGACTCGCAGGCTGACTGGCTGTGAGGATTAGCTATGTCTGCAGCATATGAGCTGATTTATGGGGCCTGATCCCTCAGAAGGTGATTCTCCTCAGTGGGCTCTTGTGTCTGTTGAGATCACCCTTTGGGTGTGTCATTTGTGGGGATAATTGGGTAGTTTTCTGCTGTGATCTAAGGCTGGTGTTTGGTTGTGTTGTTTCTGGTGCCTCTTGGGAGGTGCTCTGGTGAAGGCTAATTTCAGCCATGCCTGTAACTGGCCTGGGGCTACCTGGTAGGAACTACAAAGTTGTATGCAGTTAATTGCTGCTTTTGCTAGACCTGCAGTCATGTGGGGGTGGCCATACTCTGAACTGAGAGCAGCTGTCACCCATATCAGGCTTGGGACGACTTAGCAAAAGCCCAAGGTACCCTTAGGCCAGTTGCCACCTACTGGCTTTCCATATGGCTCTGCCATTGAAAAAGCCTTTTTAGGTACACAGGGCTGGGCTGGTCACCCCAATGCTGAGAGTGCCTCCAATAGTGCTGTACAAGTTGGGCCAGGCAAGATCCCAGGGAACCACTGGGGTGGGGTGGGTGGTGTTACCAGAGTTATTGCAGATACAGTTTTTGGGAAAGTGGTGTGCCTATGGCAACTATGCAAAATGTACAGAGAACACCAAGGCCAGATGCTGCACACCTTGGCCCTCAGAACCCTGAGAGCTATCCAAGAAATGCTGTAGTGCTAGCGAGGGCTGACTCTCCACTACTAAAAGTATCCCAGGTGGTAGCACAAGCTGTCTTGGGCTGTCTGCTGCTGGAAAAGCCTCCTGCAATGTTCAAGGCAAGGCTGGCCCAGGTAGTGAGAGCTCCCACAGTGAGGCCTCATGAGGTGGGTAAGACAGGGTCTGAAGGAGTCACCATGGTGGGGTAGGTGGTGCTCACAAGGTTAATGCAGATTCAGTTCTTGTGTCAGTGCTGAGCTTCTGGCGACTCCACAATATCCCCAGAAAACACTGAAGTTAATGAGGCCTCAGGTTTGGCTGTGTGGTGGAGGGCTCAACATAGGAAAGATGGCACCTGCCAGTAGACTACATGTGAGGCTGGCTTCAATCAGGGCTACTGGTAGCTGTCCCTCTATCCCCACCTTGAAGCCACAACTCAGTGTTTCCCTGTATATCTCTGGTGCCTCTCAAGTTGCCGCTCCTCTGCTGGAGCCCAGGGTGAGTGCCTTAATATGACTGTGTCTGTGCATGGACCCTTTCAGGGGACATCCATGTTTCCAGCCACCTTCTGTCTCATCAGGACTGACAGAATCCTCACTGACTTTCACAGCTAGATGCTTGTGAATTTCTTTTCTCACCACAGGACCCCTGGACTGGGAAAGCTGGTATAGGTCTGGGGCCCCTCACTCTTCAGGAGGTCCTCTGCTATTGAGGTGTCCCTCCTTGTGCTCATCCACTACTTGTGGGTTTCAGGTCAGCCTGTATTAGATCTCTGCCCTTCCTATAAGTTTCAATGAGACCTTTTCTTTATATCCTTAAAGGGGTTATGTTCAGCTAGTCTTAAGATAATTCCCAAGGTTGATTTTTCTATAATTTAGTTGAAATTTTAATGTGGTCATGGGAGGTAGTAGGCACAATGTTTATCTATTCTGCTACCTTGACTCTTGTTCCAACAATTACTTTTAATGTGAATGTATTAAATTCTCCAATGAAAAAACATAGGGTGAATGCAAGGACAATAAAACCTTTACATATGCTGCCTACAGGAGACACACTTCAGATTGAAAGACACACACAGGTTGAAATTAAAGAGATGGAAACAAATATTTCATGAAAAAGTAAATGAAAGAAAAAAAAGCAGGAGTAGCAATACTTATACCAGACAAAACAGACTTTAAAACACAGGCTATAACAAAGGACAAAGAAGGACCCAGTAATCCTACTTCTGGGTATTTGTTTGAAGAAACCCAAAACTCTACTTCAAATGGGCATGTGCATACATATGTTCATTTCAGCACTATTTACAATAGCCAAGCTATGGAGACAACCTGGGTATCCATTAATGGAGGAATGAATAAAGAAGAGATGATATACCTATACAATGGAATATTATTCAGCCATAAACTAGAGTGAAATCTTGCCATCTGCAACAATGTTGATGGACCTAGAGGATATTGGGCTGAGTAGAGTATGTCAGAGAAACACAAATGCCATTTGATTTCACATATATGTGGAATCTAAAGAACAAAATAAAGGAACAAATAAAACATAAACAAACTCATAGATACAGAAAATATTTTGATGGTTGCTGGTTGGAAGGGGTTGGGGAGAATGGATGAAAAAGGTGAAAGGATTAAGAAGTACAAATTGGTAGTTACAAAATAGTCATGGGGATGTAAATTTTGGCGTAAGGAATATAGTCAATAATATTGTAATAACTATGTATGGTGTCAGATGGGTACTCAGATGTATCAGGGTGATCACCATGTAAGTTATATAAATGTCTAATCACTATGTTGTACACTGGAAACTAATATAATATTGTATGTCAACTGTAATTGAAAAATAAAAAAGTATTAAAAAATAAAATAAAATAAAGCTCCATAAATGTAAAATAACGGTTGTAGAAGTAGTGATTATTTATAAAATGACACAACGTCCCACATATGCCTATTACAATACATGGCATTTAATGAACAATAAATGGTAGCTCCTACCCTGTCCTTTAAATTACTCATGAATATTTCATCTGTGTGGCTACAACATTCAAACTGTCAATCTCTTCTCCAAGGAAATTAAGTAATCATGTAAACAGGTGTTATTCTGAGACATGGCTGGTTTGTCCATAAATGATTGAGTTGACTAATTACCTATCCAACCTCCCCTTCAACTTCTTCCTTTATTTCTATAATCCAGTGAGTTAAATACCTGGTTTAGCCAAGGTGAGTTTTGAAAGTTTCTTTCAAGCCTCCCTCTTGAGAGCCATAATTCTTGCAAAAAATGAGGACCACCTTGTGGTCTTCAGCCTTTAGGTGCTTTGGCCTGTGGTGGTTATTCCAGTTTCCAGAGGTTGGTATTTTGCTGAGCCTCAATTCTCCCATGTCTCTACTAAGCTGTCTGTGTCTTTTTCCACTAGAATGCCGAGTCATGAAAGGAAACCCTTCAGCCACTGCTGGCCCCAAGGCATCCCCAACACCTCAGAAGAGTTCAGCCAAGAGCCCTGGGCCCATGCGCCGGAGCAAGTCTCCAGCTGACTCAGGTAACGACCAAGACGGTGAGTGTTCTCCTAACTCTCGCACGCTGGCTTCATTTATGGAGGCCAGTACCCTATGCATGCAGAAGAATGAGTTCTTCATGAACACCATCGTGTCTCCATGATAACAATTCTATGAATTCAGAAAGCAAACATTCAAACTTGTGTGGAGTCATGAGATACACACACAATCCGCATTCTGCTCAAGTGGATGCAAACCACTTGTTTTTTCCATGATTGCTGTGATACCTATTGTTGTGGTTGTCTTCATTGTCATCATCCTCACCATCATCCTTCACCATCATCGTAATGAAATAATCACTGCAAATATAAATTTGAAACAGAAAATCAAAAACAAAAACAAGAAGTTAAAAAATTCCACCTAAAAGTGTCAACATAGTTGATGCACTTGAGCTTCAAATTTCACTTTGAACTTTATAGAATCCAAAACAAAAAAGAGAAACAAGATAAATTGCATCATTCTTAACAATTAGAAAAGAAAGTATAGGCCAAATTCTGAAAGGAAACAAAGAGATTTGTCATATAGTATTTTGGATACTAAGTAATCTAAAAAATGTTGTCTATGGCTCACTGCCAACCCATGAACAATTTGTCAAACTAGGATGAGATTAGGAGCTTGTGCCAAATGTAAACCCTGCCACTGACAAACTGTTTACTTCAGCTGACTCTTTATAGCATGATTTTATTGATGAAGGCAGAAATATGTTGGTGTATGTTCTGGTGTGAGGTCTTGTACCACAGTTTGAGTGACACTGATCTAAAAGGCAAAAGTACATAGAAGTCCCAAGTTTAGAAGCTTAGTATGCTCATGCACAGACAATTTCAGATCTTCATGGTAAGGAAATTATATGGTTCAGAAGAACTTACACATTTATTTTCCCAAGGGTCAGGATTCACCATAAGAATTCACGATTGAGAGCCTTGGGGCAGAGAGCACAAGTACCCTTTCTCTCTCCTTCAATTTGAGACAGCTTGAACAGACTCTTGCCTTTGACATGTCTGTGGTCTAGAGAAACAGCCTGTCCTGCCAGCCTCACACTGCCAGGAGCATGCATGTCACCAGCCATCTCTTTGTTCTGAGGCAGAAAGTACTAAACTGTAAAGAGGCACCTCAGGCTTTTCATACTTTCATGTATTTGCACGCACTGTTGCTCTGCATCTGGAATTCCATCTCTCTAGTCAACCAACCTTCTTTGCATGAAAACTCTTATTCATTCTTCAAGACCACAAATAAATAGTTGCTCTGTCCTCTGAATTATCATAGCATGTATAAGGTATGTATTTACCTGTCTACTATCCCAACTAATTACTGGGACCCCATAAGAACAAGGTGTCATGTTCATTTTTGTATCCTCAGTGCCAAGCACAGTGCCTGGGTCCTAGTAGATGCTCAAATAATGCTTGTTAATGAATAGCTGTATAAGCACTCCTATTTCACATAGTACAGTGCTAGAGATCCAGTAAGCATTTGTGTAATGCTTCCTGAAGGAATAAAAATGCATGTGTTTGGTGATATTTTGGTTAAGTGTACAGAACAGCACATGAATCTATCTAAACAAATTTATATTATTCAAACAACGAAAACCAAGGTTTTCACACTTGGATTGAAAATGAAATTGTTTGTACAGGTTCTAAGCAGGTTCTTGAAAAAAAATGACTTTAAACACTTGGTCAAGATCATAAAGTCTAGGAATAATCGCTTAGCTAATCATTTTTTTTTCAGATATATCACTGGCTATCTCTGGTATTTCTAATCTGTATCACTTTTCTCTTACTGTGAAACAAATTGCTCCCAAATCTGAATGGCTTAAAACAACAGATATTTGTTGCTATCTCACAGTATCTGTGGGTTAGAAATTCTGGCATGGCTTAGCTGAGTGGTTCTGTCTGGCCCAGGGTCTCTTATGTAGCTTTGGTGAAGATATCGGTAGGGGTTGCAGTCATCTGAAGGCACGATTGGGACTGTAGGATCCACTTCCAAGATGGCTGTTAGCAGAATCTTTGCCCAGACTGAGTAATTCAAAAGAGTGAAAAAAGAAGATATAGTGCCTTTTATGATCTAGTCTCCAAAGCCACATGTTGTTATTTCTATCGTAGTCTATTCATCAGAAGCAGTCACTAAGACTAGTCCACATTCAAGGGGAGAGGAATCAGACTTCACTTCTTGCAGGAAGGAATATCAAATAATGTATGGACCAATTTTTAAGCTGCCACATGACCCATACATTAGAAATGCTCAGGTGGCAGCAGCTTAAAGTAAATAAATTTTTTTGCAGACTGTATCCAATAGGGTTGCCCAGCACATGGAAACACAACTACCTGTAATTAAACACAATTTAAACATGTCAAATTATTGATCTTCAGCATGCTACCTACAGAATTTCCCTTCTACAAAATTTGCACCTCACTGATTTGAAGATATTAGAGACAGAGCAGGAAGGCATAAGGACTCAACAAATATTTGTCAAACTGAAAGTGTTATAATATAGCCCAATCCAAGCTTAGGAAAACAAGATATGCTCTTGTTCCTTCAGAACTTCCTTGCTGATGGGGAGGAACTAGATGTATTCACACACACAAAATAAACTGACTAATCAATTTCAGGAGGAAAAAGGGGAATTACACCCCCTTTTTCAGGATTACAAGTAGCTTCTATTCCCTACCACTACAAAATCTGAAGTGGAGTTCTCAGTAAATAATATGTAAATCTTCATTTCACATAGATCATGAACATAAGTGAGGCCTAACTCCAGTCTAGTCAGCCTCCTTGGCAATATCCAGAACATTTGGGCTCATCTTAAATGATGTATCTAGAGCTTCCACATGATTTCAGCCTCAAAGGGTAAAAGGATCCATAACCTTGCCCATTTCATGACAGTTTGTTTAGAACCAAGGTCAGGGTACCCTTAATGAATATTCCACATGGACAAAGTGATCTCAGGCAAAACAGAACTTTAGGTTAAATTTGGATTTGACTTACCCATTTTCCCCTTTCATTTAGGGCCAGTTGAAGCTGGGAGGTGTAGAGGGATAGAATATGGAGGAGGAGAGGGAGACACCTCTCTAGGAAGGCTTGGCTACTTCCCAGCTTAGTGATTTGGGACAAGCATTTTACCTTCTCTAAGACTTGGTTTCCACTTTGGATAACACGGAATTTGTGTGTTGATAAATAAAAATCATTTTCCATTGTAATCAGTTATTTCCAATTTACAGGGTTGTACAATAGCTTCCACCTAATCAGAATCAGAGAACCAGAAAGATGAGCTATAGACAACAAATAGTTTTGCATTAGCATAAATTTCCCCTTTCAGACATTACAAAGAAATAATTATTTCATAAAGTTCCAAGGTTTCTCTGAGCTGTTAGTAAGGGTCATATGCAAGTTAATATACATTGAACTAAAGAATATTGGTATTGGGTAGGGCTCAAATTATTTGTTCCTTTCTAGAACAAGGTAGTACCACCTTGTTTCCGTCCTGTGTTAGTCTGTCTTAGATCTGGGACAAATGGATGGATTTACATTCCTTCATTCAACCTGAATAACTGAAGGTTGTAGAAGATAGGCAACTTCCCTAGAATTTTTAACTACCTTCCTTTAAAGGCAAATGAAGCCAAAAATGTTCCTGTTTAGCAGGGACTCAAATCAAATGAAACGTTGGCTCAGTTCAGGTTCAGTTAAAAGAATGTTTTGATGTTCCATAATAGTTCATTAGAAAATATATAGGCTTGATTCTGATTTAAACAAGCGTGCTTGCTCAAATATACATATATGTGTGTGTGTGTATATATATATATATATATATATATATATATATATATATATATATATATATATTTGGCCCAATTCATGGTTAATATCTGGGTTCAGTTTGACTTGAGGTTTAGTAAATTGATGCTATTTGGTCTGTAATTTGCATCATAATTTGATTCTTTATTCCTTAGCTCTTAAGTTGTCTTTTTCTTATTCAGCACATGAATAAATCAAAATCTTTCTGTTTTATTCCCTTCAAGTTCAATGCCTACTCCTGCCAATATTGAGTTTACCCTAAATTGAATGCCTGTTGCAAGTCCAAAACTCGAGTTTAAGAAGGATTTAATATTATATTGTTATAAGTAGCTCATTCTCACTGGGCAGAGCTGATGGACTCTTAGATTCCAAGTCCTGTTAACCATGTCTATCTTTAAAGTAGGCCAAGGGACTATGGTCAGTAGATAAAATCTGAGCTGAGGAGGCTCCTAAGGGATGTTTCAAGAAAGCCTGTGCAGTGCCACATTTTGATTAACCCCAGACTTGCCATTTAAAAAATATATTTATTAAATTTATTGGGGTGACATTGCTTAGTAAAATTATATAGATTTCAAGAGTACATTTTTGTAATATATCATCTCATCTATCTATTGCATTGTGTGTTCATCACCCAGAGTCAGTTATCCTTCCATCACCATATATTTGACTCCCTTTTTTCTCTTCTACCACTCCCCACCCATACCCTTTGGTAATCAATAAACTGTTGTCTGTGTCTATGAGATTTTGTTTCTTTGTGTGTTTGTCTTATTTCTTTGCTGCTTTCAGTTTTATATTCCACATATGAGTGAAGTCATATGGTTTTTCACTTTTTCTGTCTGACTTATGTTGCTTATCATGATAATCTTAACATCCATTCATGTCACAAATGGCAGTATTTCACATTTTGTTATGGCAGAGTAGTATTCCAATGTGTATATGTACCACATGTTTATCCAATCATCTATCAAAGGATGCTGATTGCTCCCATGTCTTGGCCACCATGAATAATGGTGCAATAAATATCGGACTTGCCATTTTGATGGGCAAAGGTAAGTAAGTCTGTCTTCAAAAGTAAAGGAAGACATCTCTGTTTCCATTTTTGCCATTAATGTGTTAATTTTTCCTTTTATGCAGCTACCCCAATTAAGTTGAATTGAATTAAAAGGAAGGAATCTTTTCTTTCTTTCTTTCTTTCTTTCTTTCTTTCTTTCTT